TTTTTTTTTTTTTTTTTTTTTTTTTTTTTTTGCTTGTTTTGAAAAGGGTCTACGGCCTTGAGATATTATCATGCAATTGATATGTTGCAACTGCTGTAGCAGCATTTGCAGTTGTTGCAGCTCAAACAACTGCAGCTCATGATCTGCAGTCATCCCTACAGCGGATCTCACAATCAGATCAGCATCTCCTTTGATTAGATCTAACACCTAGATCGGTACAACAGGTCTGAAGTTGGGATCTCAAACTTCAATTTATCATCAGAAAGGATGCAGTGATCTTATATGGGAGCTCATGACAAATTACAATCAGGAGATCTCATTCAGCTGATCCAAGCAACAAATCTGATACTCAGATCTCAATGTTAGATCATATCCTATGTCTACAAGAGATTATCAGATGTCAGGCGTGGAATTTATTTTCAGATTTAATGCTTGACATCTATCATCAGGTTTGATTTCATGACCACATCATCAAATCTGATCATCAACTCCAGGCATAAGATCTGACCTTTTCATCCTAAGATCAAAACTCATGACCTCTAGCCGGTACACCCATGAACTCTTGAAATACAGACACGAGTTTGAATCCAGATACCTTCGTTTCCACTACAATAGCTTTTAGCACATTCTGAGTGTTGAGATCCATTCGTGCTTTTGTGTGCAGGTCTGGGACAATTCCGCTTATTCCAACGTGGGAACTCGCGGAACAGATCCTATAGTCATGGAGGCAGGAGAGGGAACAGAAAATGGAAGGGGAGGAGAAAGAGAAAATAGTCCCGGGGTAGGTGGGGAGGGATCTCGTCCATCAGCTATTTCACCTGTCCACGCGAGCAGTCCGACCCATGCGCGTTACAATGTTAACGTTCCTCCAGCTGATGCACACGATTATCCTTCCTTGTCAGATTTGCCAGCTCCAGCACTTCAGCGTTTAGTTGCTCAACTTGTAGAAGTTGTGCACAAAAAAGACAGAGATAAACAAGTGGAGATAGAGCAGAGACAGAGAGATAGGGAGTATGAGTTGCAGCGAAAAGAGGTGGAAATGCATCGGAGAGAGGATGAGGTTCAACGCCTTCTTCATGTATGCGTGTCATCAGCACTCCCTCATGGCCAGACTTCAACCTCTGCAGCATTTGAAGCACACCCCCCTACTTCAGTGCCTGACCATTGTGTTCTAGCCTCTTGGGAGACAACACGGGGGTCACTTCCATCCACACGTCCAAGGAAACGTGATGCAGCAGTTGCATTTGCCGAGCTTGGTAGTGGTGATGGCCTTCTTGTTGATGGTTTTGCTGGCTGCATCAACCTACGGAGTCATCTTGCTCCTCTGATTAGAGATGGAGACCATTTTACAACTATGGATGCCATGCGTACTGCGCTCAGGCAATGTGCAGTGGCGGAGTCCTTCGAGTTCTACACCAAGACATCAAATAAGAAGGAGTTCTACGGTACGTGCTCACATAGTTTGTGCTCGTGGACCATCAGAGCTCGCACCATGATGAAAGAAAATCCTTTAACAGTGAAGATCAGTGCACCTTACTCAGAGGCATGTCGTGCCATGAAGAAGACGGTGAATTGGCATGCTGATCAGAAATGGGCGGCGTCTATCCTCGTGGACCATTTGCGAGGGGGTTGTGAACTCACTCCAAAACAGTGTCAAGATTTGATCAGCATAATCCACAAGGTGGTTCTTCATATAGATGCAGTACGCAGGGCACGTTTCGCTGCCCTCTCTATGCTTTTGGGAGATCCCTCAGAGGGGTACACATTACTACCAGCTTGGTGCCGACTGTTTGAGCGAAGCAATCTGGGTTCAGTTGCGAGCTTCGAGTGCGATGAGCAGGGGAGATTTGTCCACATTTTTTTGCTTTTGGAGCATGCCTGCAGGGGTTTGTTCACTGCCGTTCTTTTCTGGCGATTGACGGTACTCACACGAAAGGCTCTCTTCGGGGCCGTTTTAGTTGCAACAACAGGGATTGATGGCATTAGGCGTCTTTTTCCTGTTGCATTTGCCATCATTCCTGCAGAGCAGGGGCTACACTCGGTTTGGTTTATGTCTCGGCTGAGATCAGTATTGGAGAACGTAGGAGCGGATCTTACAGATCTCACTATCATGACTGACAGGGGGCGCAGTCTTATCGAGAGTGTGCGGGATGTGTTTCCGGATGCACATTATGGTCACTGCATGCGACACATTTTTGCCAACGTGTCGAAGGAGTGTCATCCTATAAGGCGTTTTGGGAATCTCCTTATATATGCTGCGTGTGCGAGCAGCACACCAGTTTATGAGCATTGGCTTTCGGTCCTCCGTCAACATGCAGGTAATGAGGCTGTTGATTTCATGCTCAAGAATGCCCCTCCTGAGATATGGGCGACTGCTTTGTTCAAAGGATGTCGTTACGGACATGTGACGACGAATGTCGTTGAGTCACTGAACAACGTTTTGGGACCCGCATGCAAGCAGACACTCATTCAGCTTGTAGACACTATTCGTCGTTTGTTGCAGAGATTGTTTTATAACTGTAGTATGGATATCAAGGCACAACCACAGGGAGCGAAAGTGCATAGGGCTACAAGTACACTTCTTCACATTACTCAGGAGAGAGGTTCAACATTACATATCCGACCTATAGCATATGAGGTGTTCGAGGTGGAGGATATTGACATCATTTCGCAACGGCAATACAGCACGACAGTGGATATGGGGAAAAAAAATTGCTCTTGTAGTCTTTGGAAAGAGCTTGGGAGGCCTTGTCGTCATGCAGCTCGTGCACTGCAGGAGATCAAGCGCTCACATGAGGATTATTGTGATCCACAATTACTTTTGAGCGCACTAAGAGATTCGTATGCGGGAATAGTGTGCCCTGTGGTCGGTGAGGGTGAGCTGGTGAGGAAGGCAGATGACCCAATTGTTTTGCCACCTGAGACGAGACGACAACGAGGACGGCCCCCTGTGCAGCGCATGAGATCTTCAACAGAACCCATGCAAGCATCATCACGAAAGAGAGGGCCCGCAAAGTGCAGCAACTGCCAACAAGTAGGTCATAATTCGAGGACATGCAAATTTTCCTATGTTGATCCTAAAACTATTGAGAAGGAGAGGGCGAATGGCAGTGTTAGGCAGACTGAGGGGTTGTGTAGTGTCGACGGTCAGCATAGTGGACATCATCCTCTCCCCAGGGACAAGGGAGGACGCAGTGGCATGGGTCGAGGTGGGCTAAGGGAGAAGCGTCCCCGACCAGCATCAGATGGAGCTAGAGGTTCATGTCATGGGGGTGGCGGTCGGGGACGAGGCAGAGGAGCTTTCACTGTCATTCCCGCAAGTGTGTTGGATATAGACACATTAGACGAGGTGCTTCCAACTGAGCCAGCCAATGATGGTAGTATTGATATTGTATTACACCGATTGTCCACTCACGATGACGATCATGCAGTCGATGCATTGGTAAACGATGACGGCGATGGGGTGGATGGTGGTGGAGATGAGGCTGACGCGGACGATAATGATGCAGACGATGATGATGCAGACGATGATAATAGTGATGATGGGTGGCGTGACTCTTTCCTTGATCCAGGGGATGGTGAGGATATCTTTGAGGAGGGTGCATGGACTATCTGCAGTACTTCATGTGGAGGATGATGCACAGTTGGGGAATTCAACAAATGCTGAAACAATTAGAGACAGTGAAGTGTCCGCATGTGACACGAGCATTGCAGCTAGGATGTCCGTACGTTTGCAGAGTCGTGCACTTCGCGCTTTTCATTGTTGAAGTATTTGTAGGGGTATGATATTGATGCAGATAGTTATTGGAGTGTACTGTATTCTCCGATCACGGGTAGGATGTCCGCACGTTTCGCAGTTTTTGTCGTTGAAATGTTTATTGGGGTATGATATTGATGCAGACAGTTATTGGATGAACTGTGAAATACCAAGTTGAGTTCGAACCCAGACATTACTGGATCAATCAAGGGCAATTATGTCTTGAGGTCACCACTGTCCAGGACCTCTCCCTCTCTCCCTTTACCCCTCTCCCTGTCTCTCCCTCTCTCCCCCCCTCCCTCCCTCCCACTTCCGCGTCCACCCGAAGAAGGAGAAGAGGAGGAGGAGAAGACAAGAACGTAAAGAAAAACCTGCTACGTGCCAATGGCACTTGGCAGTGTCAGGTGGCATACTCCACAGGGCTCTCTCCCTCTCGAGAAGGAGAAGGACCGCTGACGAACAACCGTCCTCGAAAAAAAAATCCGCATGGCCGGGCCACGTCGCACGCCATGCCACGTGCCAGCCCGACCCCTCTCTCTCTCTCTCTCTCTCT